CACGGTCATTTAGACCTAATAAAAGTCAATACCTCTTAAAATTGGGATTATTCAAAAATAATTGATAGTTGGGTATAATTAAATTAAATGGCCCACAGTTGGGATTAATAATACTAATTTTTCCTTTATTATTATATCCATTGGTTATAATAATACTATTATCATAAATATAGAAATTCTAAAACAAATGTAATACTTCCTTTACGAATTAAAACCCTAGTCAGCTCTTCTTTATTTTCTCTCTCTTGTTTTCATTCTAGGGTTCTTCCAAATAAGTGTTTTATAGTGCTTTCCTGTCATTTATAAATTCAATAAATCTACATTATTTGAGTGTAGTAAGTACCACTATACTGGGTTCAGTTCCGTAAGTGTCCCTATGGTGGGATTTTGTTGAACTTTTGTTATTTGAGTTTTATATAGTACAAGTTGTTTCATAAATGAAGATTTGTGTGGGATAAAAAAAGAGGTGAATCCTTCAATTACAATCAGATGAATCAAACGAAAATTTTCTTCACGGCTCCAACATATCGATAGACCCCCTAGCTCGTCGAAGAAGGCTGTAATTCACAAAGATATGAAAAAGGGTATGAAGAATGTACGATTTGCAACAACAACAACCGTAGCTTTGCTGAAAGGATGTTTTTATTTGATTCAATTGTCATGTATTTATTAGATAAAAATCTCTTTTTAGATGTCGTATGACTTTTTATTTATGAATCAATCTTTATTAAAAAAAATATATTAAAACAAATGAATTTAAAATATTTAATTTATTGTATCTCAATTATTATGTGTTTTTTTATAGTTATAGACTACTGTACTCTCGCGAAAAAAAAAAAAAAAAGGGTTTCCGATCTCCCTCGAAAGACAAAGTTTTTTGACCGACCTCATTCGAAATACAAGGTTAATCTCCTCTTTCCAAAGGAGAAATTTCTTAGTTTTAAATCCATGATAATTGAACAAGGGAAAACTAGGTCGTTTCTAATCCCCTAATTCAAGTAAAATTTATAAACTTAGGCTAACCAAATATAAGTATATGGCAAGCAAAGGGTCGATCCGCGGAGAACGATTAAACACTACAAATGCTACCACCAATCAAGCTAGTTCGAAAAGATGAGAATCGATTAAACAAACACTAAAAGCGACGAAAATATGAGATAAAATCTATATGACAAACGCTAAGGGGAATGGGTAGATGTAGGATCCACTTTCATATACATAGAGATATAATCGAAATGATGATCGCAAACTAAGCATGCTTGAATGTCGAAACAAGGTCCAATCCAACCACCTTTCGGGGTCAAAAGGTTTCTCCTAACATACCCACTATGATATCGCACTAGAACCATATACTAGAAGGTACAATCAAGCACAAATCGACAACAATGAATCTAGCAAGGTCCGCTATTGCATCATCAAGCATTAATTCACCCTCAATTCACATACAACGTGAACTTTGCAAGCAAATTGAAGAACATCAAGCATACAAAGACTTTAATCACAATCAAATCAAATTCTAAATCAAAATCACGATTGTAGGCGTCATTCAAAGTGCGCCTACTTAAGCATGTTGTGAATATGCTGGGCAATCATAGGAAGTGGGATTTGACATTATACAATTAGGGACAAGGAAAGTAGGGAGCCGCCAACAAGCTATGTTTTTTAAGGAACTTGTAAACCGTTCATGGATTATTTAAGGCAACCACGATAAAGGGACAACGATAGGCAACAACGATTGACCCGTGAAGGTTACACCCCATTCATAATCCATGAGATTAATAACTCCATATGGTTCGGTACCACGAAAGGAGGATCAAGGATGATGGTACGAAGTGAGTCATGGAGTCACATTCGCCCGTATTGGCCTCTACTCGATTCTTATTGTGAAAAGTATTTCCTGCAATCTCAAAGGCATACAAACAAATTTTCAATTTGCTCCAAACTAATGTTAATGCAACATATAATTCTAAAATATTGTGATCACTTCAACTAACAACAAGATTAAAAAGGAACCTAAACCGGTCGTCCAAATTATCTTATTAAGCGTTATATTTAATTACATATTCTCCTTAACATGCAATATGGTGATCAATAAACATAATAACAATAACATTGGAAGCAATTTAACCATAATATCGTTAGTCAAATTAAAGCATAATAATAAACCTAATCATGATACTAGCAATAAGAATAATAATAAGAGTAATTAAGTGAATTAATTACTCATGTTCCGCGCTTCTTTAAATTGCTACATCATGAATAAAAACGTTAGTAACTTCAATAAACATCAAATTGAAATTAAATTAAACAAAAGTCGAGTTGATTTGGTCCAAACTCTCAATCGTTCTTTCACGCCTTGGTTTAAGTATGGAACTTCGGGTGTTGTATGGACTCCGGGGAGTGCTTAAGGAAGGAATTGTGAAATTAGGAGAATAGGTTTAAGGCTTAGAATATGAGAGAGAGAGAGATTAGAATGTGTGTTGGTGCCCCGAAACTGAGAAATCAGCCTCGTATTTATAAAGGAAATGAGAGGGGTGAGGTCCGGAACCCTAGAAATGAAGCGCCGCGAAGAAAATTAACCTAGAAATTGCTACGTCACAGCGCAAATTGCCGTGACAAGACACATATTACCGTGGCGCGGCATTTCTGCCGCGACACTGCAGATGCATTTTCTGGAATTCTGTCTAAATTCATTTTTATCATTAAGTACGGAATAATTTAGGCGTCGTTTCAGTGTTCCGGGCTTAATTAGGTTTAGGGTTTTTAATATTTATTAATCGGGCTTAATTAATAAATAGAAACGAAATGGATTAAAAGGGTTTGGGCTGCAATGAGGGTTGGACTATGCTTTGACTAAATACTTGGACTGATCAGTGGACTGATTTGTATGCTCTGTTGGATTAAATAAGGATTTTAAGCACTTCCGAGATTATATACTCGACCCGACCAATAATGGCGGTGAAAGGTTGGTCATCATCGGGTTTGATTTTGGGGAGACATTTTTAGATGTCTACAATGATCAAGTTTCAACTACATCATCCCCACACCCTTGGCAAAGAAAACTACTCACTAATCATTGCAATCAACAAGCTAATCAACAAATCAACAAGCAAAAGCATAATTAACAAGCAATTAACAAAGCAAAAGCAAAATCAATCAACAAAGTAAAGAGAAAAGAGTAAGAGAATGCTCATTGATTGAAGGTGAATGTCTACAAGCAAGATGATCAATCTTCCTCTTCAAAATCCAAGCTCAACAATGGTGGAAACCTCACTTTCTCTCTCTACAAAGCTAAGTAAGAATGAAGAAAATCTGAAAAATAAAGCTGATTATATTTTCTAAGTGGTTTTCCAAAAGGAATTACAAGAGTATTTATAGAGAAAGAACAAAACAAAGTCGTGTGTGCCCTCTCCCCAAAATGGTGCGCCTACGAAAATGTGGGTACGAAATGGCTAACAACCATCGCGCCCTGTCTGGGAATTTGCCACGCCCGCGCACAAGTGCGCTTGCGGCTAGGTCGCGGTGGGAGCGCTCCAAAAGTCCTGCTTCGATGGCTGATTGGAGTTGCGCGCCCTCTCCAAAGCTGCGCGCCCTATCCAAATGTTTCGCGCCGGCGGTTAGGGCGCAGTGCATGCGCTCCTAGTTCATTCTTGCCTAAAAATTGGCCAAAATGCTCCTGCCTCAAGCTAGAGCGTCCGCCGTGGTCCTGGGCTGCGCGCTCTTTGGTGGCGCGCCAAAATCCATTTGCTTCTTCTCCTTAGCTCTCTTAATTTCTTTCCAAAGCACATTCCTTGAGTACCTGCAAAAGACACCAAGAAAAGACGATAGAGGGGGAAACACCACATAAAGGAAAGCAAAAGAAAACTCTACGAAAAAGGGCATTTATTCAAGCAAAAGGAATAACGAGACTATGGAGTAAAACAAAGCTAGAACATGCCAAAAAAAAACAGGCTAAAAAGAGATAAAAACTAGAGGAAAACCTACCCTAAAAGTATCATAAAATGACGCTCATCAATAGTAGATCTAATGGATTGTCGTAAATTGATGAAAAATTATGCGAGGTCGCAAAGGTTATCTAGTTTTTGAATACAATCAGATGAATCAAAAGGAAAACATCCTCACAACTACAATGAATCGTTAAATTGTCTCTCCAACAAACTTTATTTTCCAGCGATATAAGCAGGAGATGCTCTACAAGATCAACTAGACGGTCGTAGTTTTTATAAAAGAATTTTTTATTTGATTCAATATCTTATGTATTTGTTAAAATTGAATCTCCTTTATAGATATCGTGGGACAATTTATTAATGAATTAATTTTACTATTCAAAATTAGAAAATACTTTTTCTTTTAATTTTTCATAAATTTATTAAATTCACTTAATGTAAAAAATAAAAAAAAATTAAAAAAAATTAAAAAAAATTCTAAAACTGGTCCAAACTAGTCCGGCCTGATCCTAAGTTGACCGGTTTGGTCTTCAATTCTTGAAATTCAAATAAGGCTAATAACACTTGCTAACATTTGCCTTAAAAATAGGGTTGTTCATCGGTCCAAGGCCGGACCGGACCGAAGATCGAAAAATTGAATTTCAAAAATCGAAAACCAAACCGATTAAGGTAGGACCGAACCCGGACCGGACCGAAAAAATCGGTCCAAAACCTGGACCGGACCAGTTTGGATCAATTTTAGAGTTTTTATAAAAAAAAATCCTAATTTTAAATAATTTATGGAAGATTCGAAAAAAAAATAAAAGAAAAAAAAAATTTAACCTCTTTTTTGTATCTTTAGTACAAAAAAGGCTCATACGACTAAAGTTTTTCAAACTTGTTAAGGATAATCTTAATCGTTATTAAAGATTTTATGTATAATTTTAAGCAAAAAATCAAATCGTTCCAAGACCGATTTTTATAGGGTTTTGGATCGGATCGGACTAAAGATCGGAAAATAAAGATCTTGACCCGGAGACTGGACTAATTATTATTATTATTATTATTATTGAGTGTGCTGTGAATTTGAAAACGTGTATAGATTATCCCTGAATCAGCATTGTCTGATGCTGAAGCAAAGGAGCCGGCGATCGTCAATGGTGGTTCATAATTCTTATTCTTCGATTGTCTCTCCTCGAAATCTTCCATGGATTTCTGCTGTTTCCACCGCGTAATCTTCATTTCTCCTTCCTTTAATTCTTTGATTTTTCAAGTATTATTTCTTTTTATTGATGATTATTACTGTATTATGTTTGAAATTCGAGGATTGAAGTTTATTAAACAAATTAACCATTTGTAGCAAATTCGTCATGATTCACAGCATAATTTTAGTGAAATTACAGGTTTTATTTGCTGTAAGAATTAATTCATGAGCATATTTTTGGTGACATGATCATTTTAGGTGATGTATGAATTTCTAATTTTCTGTATAACAGTAGATGAGCTAACTACTTAATTACTACTAGCAATTGTAATAGTATGGCATTGATTAACCTTATGATTTATAATAGGCTTTTTAAAGTCGATTAACAAGATTTAATTTCATAGTTTTTACTGAAATAGACATCTACAAGACGCGATTAATCTGGCAAATTTGGTTTGTCGAATTCATATTCGATCTCATAATGTGTTTGGCAATAATTAGCTAAATGAATGAGTACTTGAGGCAGAGAGCTTGAGAAAATTGGCTTCTATTAAAAAAATGAATATTTCTTTCATAAATTGGAGTGCTAAACTGCTAATAAAATTAAGCAATGACTTGTTTGTTTTTAGGATTAGAATGCAAAACAAAAGTTAAGCAAAGGTGACGAAACAAAAAAGTACAAGTACTTGTTTTAGATGGTATTTGAGAGTATCAAATACTTGAGAAATTGAAGTACTCAGTAGTTAATTTATGCAAAATCACAAACTAGTGTTAGTACAATACAATACTACTTCATAACTTAAGAGATTGTTTGAGCTTTTGAGTCTTGGAGGGTTGGGATTGCAAGTATGATAAGCGATAGGAACTAGGCAGATAAGGTGTGAGGAATATTTGGAGTATAAAGTGGGGGAATCTGTGGAGTAAAATCTAGAGAGACGTTATAGGGGATTTGTGATATTTTGGTATGTTGTTTTTTATCATGAAGTGTAATTTGGTACTCATAAATGGTAAAAGATAGTTTCAAGCTCTACAAATAAAGTAGGTGGTAGGAGTTTTGGTGGGCTAGTTCTGGAATCTGGGTTTAATTCCTTAAAAAAAATTAGCTCACTGACCTGCGCCTGCCCAGTTTGAGGTAATTATGCACTAGTTTAGAATGAGTTATAATTGAGCGCTAGTTTAGAATGAGTTATAATTGAGCACTAGTTTAGATAATTATGCACTAGTTTAAGCACTGCTTAGATGATTGAGCATCCCTGGGCTAGCACTAATTGAGCATCCCTGGGCTAATTCAAGGTTGAATGGGCCTAATCATCTGAATAGCAGACTACATGTACTCTTTAACATTCGTAGGAAATGTAAATTGTCTGAAACTAGTGCATAACCTACCTTAAACTACTTCATCATTTTACCTATTCTCAATTGCAGAAATGAACCAGACTTTCCCATCGAATAGAATAATATAATGACCATGTTGTACTCATAGGAAATGTGAAACTTATTTTTCACAGTAACACAGAGTTTTCTTGTGAATTATGATGCTTGGTTTCTTATATATCCCCTCAGTTTGATGCATTGAACATGGTTGAAGAGTTCATTTGGTGATTGTTTGAAACATTCCTTTTTTAATTTTGGCTTATTTTACCTGTATATATTTCTTTCCCATGGTGAATTCTGTCGCAATATGAAGTGCTCAGTGTTAACATGTTCTGTTCCAATGATAGTTAATTTATGTGCTTCCTAAATGTACTAGTAAATATTTCACAGACGATTCAACAGATAGACAACCCACTGTACTTACAAATTGACATATTGATCACTCCGCAAGCTTACTCTTGTGAGGACCCTTGAGCCCTAGATGTCAATTGCAATTTTGGAAGACTTTAGAGACTTTAATTCCAAGCTGTTTTCCAATGTGTCAGATTCTTGATTTTATCTTTATGAAGTCTGCTTTTTGTTTCTTTGCTGACTTGCGCTCCAGATGTTACTATTGTTTAAAATCCTTCTTATTTTGTACACTTTTATTTGTCTGTCCTACATGTTTTCTTCAATCTCATTTTTCTTCAGTGAAGAACACAATTCAATCATCGTTTATTTTATTTGTTAGAGCACAGCTCACCTAATCATTCTATACTCTGTGGTCAGAATTCTCATGTTCGTGAAGGGAACCGCAATAAATAGGTCTTTTCTTGTGCCTTTTTTTGCTTTACAGGCACCCGCTAGTGTCATCTCATGGATGCAGTAAGTTCTTGAAACTAGTCTTTCTCTGTTTTGTTATTCACAACTTTGAACACTTGGTGTTTATTTTTGAAATTGTTTAGAAAAAAACTTCTTTGCTTCATGAAATTTACGATTTTAGAATTGTCTTTAATTTTCAGGGGAGAATATGGTGCTTGGGCTGCTACTCTAGCCCTCCTTGTTCGCCTCTTCTTCTCTCTTCCAGGTGAAGACTAAAAGCAATGGTTATCTTGTTCTCTTAAAATGAAATGACTAATTTTTCTCAGCCCCGTAATAGCATCCAATTACAGTTAGTAAGCATATGTTAGTAGTATGATGGCTCAATGGCATGTGATCTCCCTATCCCTAAATGCTGATTTTTTAGTCCATTTAAGTTTCCCCATTTTCACCAAAAAAAAAAAAAAAAAAGTTTCCCCATCAAACAAATTATTATAAAAAAAATCTTTTTAGTTTTGAATGCATCTCCTGGATCTTTTTTGTATCACCATCTGTAACTTGTACCACATCATGCTAAGTTGGTTTCCCTTTCTGGTCTTTCGATTCGACTTATGCTACCCATATCCTCACCCGCTCCCTTCTCCATACCAATCCAACATATGGTATACTTCCTCTGTTGTTGAAAGCTTGCATTAATTTGACTTTCATGCTTGCAACTGCACAACTTTGACCATTGATATTTTCAATTACTCATTTTCTATTTAAGAAATAAAACTATAGAAAGTTAATACTACATACTACTTCCGTTTCTTATTATGTGCAACAAAGGAGTATTATTTGTTATACATAAAATATTCCTTTGTTGCACATAATAAGAAATGGAGGTAGTATATACTTCGAGAATAATCCAACATTTGATAATCATGTCCATGCTTGTTAGTACCTAACACATCTACTTTGTTTTATAGGTGAACTGGAACTCCCTTTCATCACATTGGTTTTGGTAATAGTTGCTCCACTTCGAGCATTGAACCTAAGGTATCATAGCCTTTATTTTTATTTATTTTTTAATTTAATTATTTATGACATCCCATTCACAAGTTTTGTGATCCTTTTGTTGGCAGGGGGACACAGGCAGGCGCCATTATATCTTTAGTAATTGCAGCCTATTTAGCGTTCCAGCATTTTACAAGAGCTGGAGGTCTGCAGAAATCATTTGAGCAAGGTTCTATTGTTGCAACTTTAGCCATCGTTTGTATCACCATTGTCCCATGCCTGCTATTAATTTGATTCTGGAGTAGACCAAATTTGTCGACTTGATGCGTATCATTGAAAAAAAGTTAATAAAAAGGTGAGTTTTGAGAGTGCATTTCAAAACTTCTGTTGTATATGCCAGACAATTGAATTTTATTGTGACTACTTTTGTTGGTGTATTCTATGAAATAAAGGTTCTTTTCTAGCTGTTTCTACATTTTTCATATGATAAATATTGATTATGTCTTCCAGTCACCAAGGAAGGTAATTATCCTAATTGTTCATTTGCCTATGCAATTTATCTTGTCATTGGAGGATGGATGATACTAAACTGGAATTGGGACTCATTGAGAGATCCTGTGCTCTTGACTTATGGAGTGATTTGTGGAAGTCGAAGGCTAGAATCCTCAAGTGGATAATCATTTTGCAATGCAAACAAAACTTATCTAGTGCTGCTCTACCTTGCCTTTTCTTTCTGATAAGTTCTTCCCAAACCTATTACATGGTATATGCAATCTAAAGGCTCTTTTTGTTACATATATAGAAATCCCCTTTGATCAGGACATTTGAGTTATTTTTTTTGTCCTTCTATTTTAACGTTTATGTTTACAATCTGTCTTTCTATCACAATGAGACAACATGAGTTGTTCTATGTTGAAGTACTTTTGTGTAAGTTATATTTTGAGCTGCAAGAGTTTGTATCATTCATTGCTGTAAAATATAGAACATCCTAATAATTATTGCTGGTTGACATTGAATTGTAAATTTCTACGAGTATAATTTACTATAATACTGATGTAAGCCTATAGCGCAACAACTCAGCCTAACAAGAACTATGTATTATGTGAGGAGTGACGGAGTCTCCTGGCCGGCGGTAAGGAGGACCTGAAAGCTGAAGTTCATTTGTCAAGTAGTGCCTCCTAACAACTTCATCCATGGTGTAGTGAAGCCGGCATGTACTGCTTCTTGCTGGGAAAAAGTGATTGCCTTCTACATCTCTTCATTAATTGTTTGCTAGTAGAATGTACATAAATATGCTTGTTGAGCAAAAGAAGATAATCCACTGCTCAGAAGTTGCAGAAGCCATGTTAGGGCTTCCTGTAGGTTCTGGCCCATAAACCGATGCTCCACCGAGAGGTGGTCCTGGAAAATTTCCGAGTGATGGACTTGGTGGACTGAATGATGTTGGTGGTGTATCCATGGATGAAGTTGGGGGAGTTGTTGAAGTTGGTGGTGTTGTGCTGTAACAAGAACACAAATTACAACTCTGCTTCTGCATAAGAAATTATAATTGAAAACAACCGTTGAATGCTTACCTTGTTGATCCTTTTGATGATGAGTAGTGACAATTTCCAGTACCTGCAATAGGAAGAAGATATGGGATCATTCATTCACAGCATTGATTATCAGATATCGTAATTTGGAATGCGTATTATTCTTTTCTTTTCTTTCAGGTTCTAATTTTGAAACTCTTCTCTAGAACAAAACTAGTAAATAATGTACAGATTCTCAAATTATTACTTGTAACCTCAGATGTACACTTACTTGGATCTGTAGAGACAATCTGGGCAGTTCCTCCGAAATCACAGCTGGTTGGAGCTGGGTTCTTCTGATAATAGCTATTGTATGCGTAAGAAGCATGGTCTTTTACTGTATCTGGACTGGCACAGCTTCCTCCTGGTTGAATTGCAGAGCAGTCAGCTCCCCCATATCCACATGCATAGTCCAAACCAACTTGTAAAGCCTTTTCTGAAGCACCAGGTTTTGCTACACACCAAGATCCTCCTCCTCCCCCTCCACCTGCTCCTCCACCTCCAACACCTCCACCTGCTCCTCCGCCTCCACCTCCAACACCTCCTCCTGCTCCTCCACCTCCAGCAACTCCTCCATCTCCTCCTCCTGCTCCTCCTCCTCCAACTCCTCCATCTCCTCCTCCTCCTCCTCCGACTCCCCCACCTCCATCTCCTCCTCCTCCAACTCCCCCACCTGCATCTCCTCCCCCTCCTGATGGCGGTGTAGGATTCATTGGTGTGGTTGGCGTGGTAGTTGGGGGTGTTGTTGGCATATTAGGTGGGTTTGTGGTTGGTGTAAGTGGTGGGGTTGTAGTGGGAGTGGTTGTCGGGGTAGTGGGAGTCGGATTAAACGTTGGAACATCTCCTGTATCTCCTGTTGGATTGTCAGGTGGAATGTTTGTCGGATAGGTGTCGTGCATAATTGTTGGATATGTTCCATGCATGATCTTTGTTGGATAAGTGTCATATATCAGGAATCGCTTTGTTATTTCAGCACTTGACCCTGAAAGCGTTTGTAAATTTGTAAGTTTTCATCAATCCTCCCTTTGACCCTTCTTAATTTCTTGGTTGAACCTAGGAACTTGCATACAGTCATCTTAAAGTTCACCTTGAAGCATTACTATTAAGCTATCCATGATTGGTTTTGCATGTCTCTTTTTCGTTTGTACAGGTTAGAAAACATATAAAATTCTCTTTTCTTCTGGTTCTGTTTTCTTATATTTTGGGAAGTGGTTACCCTATATGACATTAAAATTAGAATTATTGTCTGCGTCTCCGGAAAGAAATTTATTTCACTTTCTAGTACGAGTTACCTATTTGGATTCCTGATAGGACTTATCAGAAGATATTAAGTACTATAGTTTATATGAAACTAATGAGATCAAATGAATCACCTGATAGAAGTACTAGGAAGAGAATCGGTAAGCAATGGACACGCACGAAAACCATCTTCCTGAGCTCTCCTGTAATCTCCCCAATCTGAAAGATATATGGCTAACTTGGTTAAGCTTATAAGAATGATGCAACAGCAGCAGGGGCGGCAGCAACAGCAGCAGAAGCACGAGCAGCAGAGTCTTACGAAATAATGGAAACCGTAATGATGTTTGTGCAAAGGGGAGTGTGGCATACTCGGCGTCATTTATTATAAGATGTGCAGTGAGAATATTGATGGAATCCAGTGCTTTTCCTAGCTGAAAAAGAGAGAGAAAGGAGAAGAGGAAAGGAATATAAGCAAAACTTGAAAGAGGAGGCAATTGTATTAGTTGGGAATTTGGAAATTACAAGCTAAGTTAAGGTGGCATAAAAGATAGAAAAAGGTACTTAAGAATAAAAAGAGAAGAAAAGATTGATCTGTTTGGGATTTGAATCTTATGTTTCTTTGGGTTGTTTTCATGTAAACTTGACATACATGTTTTAGTTCTTCTGGCAACTTTATTTCTCTTTTTCTCATAGGAACTTGTCATAGGACTAAACCAAAAGGTAAAATATTGTATAAATCCTATCCATCTATTTTTAAAAGATTGTTCCATTTGGAATTTTGCTTGATTTTCAATGCAAAATTATACTGAGTAATATATATTACCAAAAAAAATTACTCCCTCTGTTTTTTTTTTATTTGCATCACTTTTCCTTTATAGATGTTTTTTTTTTTAAATGCATCACTTCTATATTTAGTAACTTTATACTATATTTTATCATTTCTCTCACTTACTTTAAACCCCACTCAAATTATTTTATCATTTCTCTCTCTTCAATGGTCCCCACTTAAATAATAAAAATATATATCCTCTCACACATACTTTCTCTTTCATGGTCCCATTTTATTTTACTATAATAATTTATTTACCCCCTCACAATATAATATTACTCTCCTAAAACTTTGTGCATTCCCAAGTGATGCAAGTAAAAAAAAAAACGGAAGGAGTACTTCATATATATTATACTCCCTCTATTCTTTTTTGTTCTACTCACTTTTCATTTTAGGCGGCTATTTTATGCTCTATTCACTTTGCTTTATTCTTTGTAAAGCATCCCATTTTACCATCTTACCTCTTCAACCCCATAATAATTACACATTTCCATACTCTCTCAAATAAGACATTCTTTTAAAAACGGTGGAAAAAATCTCCAAATATAGAGTACGAGAGGGTCAAAAACAGGCATTGTCAGCTGCAAAATGGCAAAGTGGTACCAAAAATAGGTTTTGTTTAATGCTACTTTAGGAGTACATATACGAAATGTCTAAAGTGGCGACAATACTTTTATAAAATGTACGACATATACAAGAAGAGAAGCGATTCCTCTTTGTTCTACAGTTTTCAGTTGTTTTTCTGTATGGATCTGCCAATTCTTCTTGCTACTGCAATCGTAGCATACACTCTAATTTTAATTCTCTTACTCCAATCTCAAAAGGATCATTTTTCAATGTACGATGTATCAAAATATTAACGGGTATAGATATTTTCTAGCATGATATAGTCTTATATCAAGACGGAAAATGTCACCTAATTTTTATACAAATGTACCCCGTAATCAGGGGCGGAACTAGGGTGGGTTCAAGTGGGTTCATTGAACCCACTGATTTTTTGAAAAAAATTTAAAATTTTTTTTTTTTAAAAAAAAAAAAAAATCAAAATAGGTTTAAATAGAATATTTGTGTATTATATGGCAACAAGTAAAGTTGTAGCCCAGTGGTTATTTTTACCTCCCATCACACAAGAGTTTGTGGGTTCAAAACCCATAACTCACACTTTTTTTTTTTAATTTTGTTTCCTGAGCACTGAGCTTTCCTGCTTCCAGAGTTCGCTTTCCTCTTCCTCATTCCCCCAAATTGCAAAACCCTAACTTCTTCCTCCAATCCTCCTTCTCTTAATCTCTTCCCGTTCTTCCTCCTTCTCTTCCCGGCGCAGCACGGCAGCAGAGTCAGCAGAACACGGCGGCAGCGGCAGGCCGGCAGCGCACCAGCCACTCACCCAGACCCAGCCTCACAGCCGTGTATGGTGTATCGGTGTATGTAGGGGTAAGTGAATTTGGGGATTTTTTTTTTTTTGCAAATGTAATTTACTTCTCAATTTGGGGATTTTTTTTGCTAAATCATTGAATACTTGAAAATTGAAATTCATATGCTAAATTCAATTGCTAATATACATTACGATTTACGAATTGCCAATGTTTTGTAAATTGCTGAAGTTTGGATATAATTATCTAATTTACTTCTCAAGTTCTCAATTTGGGGATTTTTTTGTATTTCGTATGCTATTTTCATATGCTATGCTATTTTCTGCCTTTCGTTTCTGCCAATTCATATGCTATTTTCTGTATTTCGTTTCTGCCTTCTAGTTTTCATAATTTCATTTGCTATTTCGTTGATATGGGTTTGATTGATGAATATTATAGATCTTAGAGATAATTTATTTACATTGTTATGTTTAATATATGCTAATTTTTAATTCAATCGTGAAAATTTGGCCTTTAATTATTCTGTGTTTGAAGCATGATTTTGAGTTAAGTGATGTTTGGCGAACACTCTTTGATAATTTTATTTGTATAATTTTGAGTTCAGTGATGGTTTTGTATTGCTGATTAATTATATATAAAAAATTGAAATTAATCCTGTGACATGAATCTACTACACAATTTAACTCTAACTAAGCTACATTGAATTGAACATTTTTATTGTCGGCACATAAGAATTCTGTCAAGCCATAGCTAACGACAGTAATCTGCTACAATAATCTAAGTGAGCAATCAGAATGAGAAAAGCTTCGATAGTGAAACGATAATATTTAGCTACTTGAACTTAATATCCCTATTTGGTTAGTTTGGCAACTTATCAAATGAGAAATAAATGTAAGGTGGGATGTTGATCCATGTATTGGGTTAAGTCCTTAAGCTCTAGCGATGCGTGAAAGGATACAATGAAATATCATGGCCATTATCATTATTTTTCCGTCATTAAGTTAATATGTGCTGATTGTTGGCCTCTTTGACTAGTTGAATCCATATTTTAACTCTATAACAATGATAGTATGTAGCTTATTCAGTTTAAATAGTATATGTGCAATGTAATGCTTACTTGCTAATTAGAATATTGTAGCTTTTTTTTTAATGTTAACTTGTAATTTATTTAATGTGTTGCTTCTCTGCCATTGTATTAGCTTGATCAGATTTTATCGGTTATAGCTTTTTTTTTTTTTTTTTTTCATTTTTTCTATGTGTAATCTATTTGTAATCCATAGTTTGAAATTATTTATGTACTGAATATTTAATTATTGTATTTTTATTCCTTTGTTAATTATGATTTCAAATTTCGGAAGTTTCGAACCCACACTTCGAAAATCCTGGTGACGCCACTGCCCGTAATCAATAATTGAACATGAAATCCATTCATATGACATCTATCTATACTCCATAAATAGTCACATGTAGTTTTACTATCTCCTTACCTCTTATTATTTGAAAAGAAAAAATAAATAAATGCAACTATATACATTTGCATTATACTTGTAGGAAAGTAGTCAAAATACTACTACTCTTGTAATACTAACGATTGACTGTTGTCTATTGCTATAATATTCTTAGGTGTTAATACAAATAATGAATTAATGTTTGCCAATGTTTCAATATATACTCTTTACAAAGGAATTGCTGTATCAATTTTGGGGTAATAACTTTCGATGCATATTATTAGAGGATATTCATATAGAGCCAATAGAGGTATTTGATTTGAGGTAAATATGTTGGTCTTAACGACAAAGCTTTACATACCATACCAACGCCATCTACTACAGATGGAGAGCCTTAATAAAGTACTCCCTCCGTCCCATATTATAGTTTTTGTTTCCCTATTTTGAATACCCAAAATGTTATTTTTGTTTTTATTTTTAGATAGTATGTAAAGACCATTATACCCTCATTTTTTTAACTTTATTCATTATACTTTCTAAATTACCCTTGAATTTTTCACTTGTTTTGTATTTTTTTCCACTTTCTCTCTCTAACTTTTGTCTATAATTGTATTTTTCACCTTTTTTTTATATACTTCATTCACTTTCTTCCCTCTAACTTTTGTCTATAATTGTACTTTTCACCTTTTTTATGTACTTTATTCACTTTATCCTCATATTTCTTAAATATTGTGAAAAATCACAAACAGGAACTATGTATTGAAACGGAGGGAGTACATCCCCAATGATTGCTTTGTAATTACATGCCCGACTTTAAACGATTTGTTAAAAAAAAAAAAAAAAATTGGCGAGGGGATAAACAGAATAACTAGGCGAGTCAGAGATCTAATTGCAGTCAAACTACCTGCTATCAAAATCTTTCTATAAAAGAGGTTTATTTGAGTAGCAATTCACGTACAAAATTGTTTTGGTGAATATACATACATTAATTACAAGTAGAGATAAATAATACAAGAGGAGCACTTTCAATCAACTCTGCCAAGCTCAAGCTGAACTCAAAATGAGGGGATCCTAACTCATGTTACTTATGTTACCACCGTAAGATAAAATAAACTTGCTTCGGTGAATCATACCCAACACCAGATTTGTCGTAAGAAAATCAAAACAAGAAGCAGTAAAATCAGCAGAACTTCATGTCTACATGACAAGTCCCTGAGTACATAACAATGGCCAATTATATCAGCAGATTGGCAAAACAATTTGGATAGAGGATTACAATCACAAATACTATGTAGATAGAAATGCTTACAACAAACAAGATTGGTTTGCTTCATTCATCCCTGTATCAACCGATTGCAAGTAGAAAGAGATTTTGTCACATCACTCCATCCTGAACTTACCAAGACCAGAGTGAGAAGGGTTCACTTTAAGGAAAGATCTACCAAAAATGATAATTTTAAAAAACCAAAAACAGGTAATGAAAGGAAAATCTCACGTGGGATGTTAGAGAAGTCAGGCTCTATTCCATTGCCATTGATATCCAAGTGGTGAGGTGTTATGTACTTCCCTATTGTGACAACCACGCCAGATCCATCATGAAGCTCAAAAACTGATTGAATGAGACCCTGCCCATGATATTTTCTAATCTTGTAAAATCCATCTATGGAAGACTAGCCACGGAATACAACAAAGCTGCCAAGGAAATAGTAAAAAGAGATTACAGCAGAGGAAAACAAAGAAATAGGAATTCAAACCTTGCCATAGGTTTTTTCTCCCACCAGAACAGCTTTGCAATTATCATGAAGAGCAGATGCCACCTGTGTGAATGCAAGGGTTAAGCAACTGCAGCAGATAATTGTCGTTCATCAGATGTACTAGCAATGAGGGGCTTACTATTTCACTGGCACTTGCGGTATTATGGTTCACCAAAACCTGCATATTGCAGTAAACCAATAAACAAAAGATAAGTGTGTAAAATTTTCCATTAGTTTCTTCCTTTTTTTAGCTAATCTTAACAGATAATCAAAATAATTTGAGGCTGCTTAGAGGCTGGAACTTTTTAGCACAAAAAATTGCCTTGACCCAGAAGACAACTTGTCACAAATCTGCCCTCAATTAAGAAAGGTTGCATCAAGAATGTTTTTTTTACCCATCTAACTTTCTCATGATAAACTATTATTACTAAGGCTTCTCTTCACCTTAATAGAACAATATTTAATAAAATTCAACATAAATCAGTTTTGTTCACTAAGAATCAGCAACTCCATACAAAAAATTGCAACAGTGAATCTGTAAAAATCAGTTTAATCAGAAGTTTTTTTCATTTCAACAATCAGGTGAAGATAACAGGGCATAAGTGTCGACAAAAACAATGCCAAGCCACTAAAACTATTGGTAACAATTGTCTATGCAGCACATGTTACAATAAATGTAGTAAAACATCAACTTTTATACTAGGATTGTTAAATCCTAGCCAAATTAACTCTAAACTTTTTTGTTCCTTTATGCTTCTATTTTTCTTCCATTAATGTATTGCATACAAGTAAACATTCATTGCAAAGCCATGAAAGATGCTGCAGAGAACAGCAACCTTTTGAGTGGGCACAAAGGTGAGCAGCAATAACAATAACTAATTCGGAAATGTGAACTAATTTCACATGTGAACTATTATAAAAATTATTCTACGTGGAGATTTCTAACAAAAGTACAATTAGAACAAAAAAATAAATAAATTATTCCATGTGAACTAATTTCACATCTTAGATGATAAACCATACCATGACAGGTGCTGTAACTAATGGTGGAGACTCTGCCACAAAGGCATTCTGAGACAGTTCCCTTCCAGCAGTATAAATCACCTGTTGGTAAGACAATTGAACAAACATATAAGTGGTTGTTCACTTGTTCACAGCCCTGTCAAAAGGACCTGAAATATGAATACGACCCTAACTTATTGAATTTGAGCACAATATTGTCTGAATTTCAAAACTCATTTAAGGTCAATGGTACCAGAATTATGTTGACTCAATAAGACAAGCCATAAAGAGGAAAACTAAATAAACAAAACCAATGCCCTGTAAATCTCAGCTGGAAGCAAATTTTGCCTTTTTCATGTGAGCAGGCCTGAGAAGTATAATAAACCAACTACCAATAAGTGTCCTGAAATCATAACATTGATGACTTACTATTTTAAATAGTTATCTAACTTCGTTAAGTTGCAAGGACAAAATACAGATCATCGAACCCCAGGACAGAATTCATGCCATGGTTTGTGGAGCTCAAACCTGGCATAATCAGGGCAAGCAAGCAAGCCATACTCTCAAATAAGATTCCTTCACCTACGTATAGGTCATGTTAAAGTTAAACACCAATAAAGAAAAACAACTAAAGTGCCACAGTTCCCTCAATCGAAAAGCAAGCCATTGACTCAAGTCTAAATCTGCTTGGCAAACATAATCACTTTTCAGCGGGACTATGACAATCTTCAAGACAACTAATATATAACACCCTTTTCCCCTTTTTAATCCACTTTGTATCTTAAATTCTCTCCATCTAACTGTTGTACTAGTATTACAGCGTGTTTCATAAATTTAAAAAAATAAAAAAAAAAAATCAATTTCTGATTTTCTACTTCTTCAGAAAACAATTTGTTGGCATTTGTCTCCCCCCAATCCACTCCAAAACATATGTGTATATGACTACTCATCAACACAAAACTGGATTACACAATACATTTAACATATGACCATCAGTTTCATGAATTTCTTGACGACTTACGCACTTTTGTTACAATATGAACTGCACTTTTCTTTAAGGCATTATGATGATTTACACTCAAAAACTAGTTGCTTAATTATCATTTTATTTGTGAATCTCTTCATTTTCCTCATGCAGTCACCCTATTTTTCAGTTTTTACCTCTGGTAGGGAAAATATGCTCATAAACTAAATGGAATAGTGTCTGCTCTGCAAAGTTCCAGGCCCATCACAGAAAATGCTGCCATGTTCTAATTGCAACTCTAATTAAAATGAAAGTTCCAAGACTTCCAACTAAGGTTAGAGTTGTTATATGGACTGTACTATCTCATAACATCAATCAGCTGTATCCAAGAAGGCTTTTAAGGTGTGTGTTAACTGTCATGGAAATAACAAAACTAATTAGCACTTGGATCTGTGCAGTTCCAATTCTCACTTGAATCTGCATAGCTCCAATTCTCATTCTCAGTGCACAGTATTACTCCATTGCACATATTCAAATATTTATTTATTTTTTCTTTTGAGGGAGTGGGGATATTCGTTCATTCATGGGAGGATATGCTTTTCATTTCTCATTACATGAAATCTCTTTTCTTCCATTCCTAGTCATTTAATGATATTTGAATTCTTTTCAGAAAAAAAAAAAAAAAAAAAAAAAAAAAAAAAAAAGCAGACTAAGATCAATGTCTCAATATTATTATAGGATATTTAAACATACCACTTGCTGATATGGTAATTTATGTAATTCAATGTCTAAATTCTTAAGATCATGCTTACGCAAGAGAAACAAGTGGGACAAACAAAAGAAAGGGGAGAAGAAGATGAATAAAGAGGACAGAAGTGCATTAGGCAAACTTAAATGATAGCAATACCATACCGTATCCCCCTCATTCAGAAACAGCTTTGCGATTTCTATCCCAGCCTGCCAAAAAAAAAAAAAAAAAAAAAAAAAAAAGAATTCACTACATAAATATATAAATTATACTTAAGACTGTACTAAAAGGAACACTATTATGTCAAATTTCAAGCAAATTAATGTGTTTCGAAGATCTTTTAAGTGTCCGGTAAGCTGTGGTTAAACTATAAAAATCTTTCAACAGCAGCAGATCCCTAACTTCTAGGGTCCTAACAAATTCTGTTAAACAATTGAACTCAATGCAAAAAATAATAAGGAAGTAGGCAAATAAAAAGTAAGAATCATGAAACAGATTTCAACAATAAAAGAAGATAGCAGGCTAGAGGCCCTATGTAATAAACTAACTTTAAGAAGGACACTTTGGGAAATTTAGTATTATTAGGTTAATAGTCCTTAGCCTTAGTATAAAAAGAAGGTGAGGAGAAAGGAAAGGATAGGCAGAAATTTGTATTGAAGGGAAACCTTAGAGAGTCATGGCCTAAAGCTATTTTGAGAGTGATAGCCTAAAGCTATTAACCTATCCTTTTGTAACCTTTCAGCTGTTATCAATCCAAATTCGAGCTTCAATCTTTATTTACTTGCATTTTTAAATCAGAATTAGAAACCCAGAAAATCCAGTCCAGTACACCCTACAACCTTTTCACTCAAAAGCGGCAGGATTATTCAACACTTTAACGTCAAAGGGCATCAAAACAAGCATACAGCATGCAATATGCTAGGATTTGGATATGAAAACAGGGTATGCAACAGAAATAGAAGATAGCAGCTAAGGGATAAGTGTATTGCAACCAGAGTAATCACAATACAGGGGCCTTCTTTCGAGAGGAAGGTTCTCTCCACAACTCACTTCAACAACAAATTCTGGATACTCTCCCCCTATCCCATTAGCACTATTTAATACGACAATTAAGCCTAACAAACTCAAGCAACAGCTAATACACGGAAACAAAATAACAACCAAATAACAAACTTATTTCTGAATTACTACTTTGCCCTTTCCCAAAACTGATTTCATAACAAACTATCTTCCAGCTCATCATCAAGCATTTGCTAGCCTATTCTTGGGCCTTCTCCTTGCATATGTGAAACGGACCTCAGGCCTAGGATGATCTCTTGCAATACCTCCCACCCAAAGTTTCACCTTGTCCTCAAGGTGGAAGCAAGGAAACCCGAGGTTGACTTCATCAAAGAACTCCCAAGTAGCTTCAAATTCCAGCAGGCCCTTCCAATGTATCAAGACCTCCATGGCAGTCTGAGAGTTTCTCACTCCAAGTACAGCCTGCAGGAATTTGTTGAAGTCAACCTCAGGTTTATAGGAATTTGAAGCTACTTGGGAGTTCTTTGATGAAGTCCACCTCCAATATCAAATCAGCAGACAAGTTTATAGGGAGCTGAGTTGGGGTTTGACTGATGCCAACAGCTTTCTTTAATTGCCAGATGTGGAAAACAGGGTGGATTGTGGCATAAGGAGGTAGCTGCAACTTGTAAGCCACACTGCCTATGCGTTGAACCACTGGGTAAGGCCCATAGAATCTCGGAGAAAGTTTGTCATTGGACCTCCTCACCAAAGACTTCTGCCTGTAAGGCTGCAATTTCAGGTAACCAAGTCCCCAATCTGAAATGAGCCCTCACGCCTTCCCTTATTTTCATAGTGTCTCATATACACCTGTGCTTGTACCAGATGATACTTCAAGTCATCTAACATTGCATCTCTCTCTTGCAGCTGCTCTTCCACAGAAGATACAGTAGTACTTCCTGCAGAAAACCTGATCAGATGAGGGGGGTCCCGTCCATAGAGTGCCTTGAAAGGAGTGCAGTTCGTGGCGGAGGGAAAAGAAGTATTATACCAATACTCTGCCCAAGGTAACCAGCAAGCCCAACTATGAGGTTTAACATTCACAAAACACCTCAAGTAGGCTTCAACACCCTTATTGACCACCTCGGTCTGCCCATCCGTCTGTGGATGGTAGGCCTTACTTCGCATGAGTTGAGTCCCTTGGAGGCGAAACAACTCTTTCCAGAAAATGCTAAGAAAGACTTTGTCCCTATCCGAGACAATGGAGCTGGGTATGCCGTATAGCTTGACCACCTCACTGATAAAACTTTGAGCCACACTCTGAGCTGTATAAGGGTGTTTAAGAGGTATAAAATGCTCATACTTAGTCAACCTGTCCACCACCACTAGTATGGTATCCCACCCCAAGGATTTGGGAAGACCTTCAACAAAATCCATGGATATGTCCTCCCACACCCTCTCCGGGATTGGCAAAGGCTGAAGGAGACCCAAGGGTGAAGAGTTGAGGTCTTATTCTGCTGGCAAACTTGGCAATGCTGCACATATCTCTGAACATCCTTCCTCATGCCAAACCAGAACCACTCCCCAGCAAGTCGTTGGTATGTCTTCTAAGTCACCAGCATGCCCTCCTATCACTGAATCATGATACTCGTTGAGCAATTTGCTCGTGAGTTCACTTTGCTTGGGGATTACTATCCTTCCTTTGTACTTCAGCACCCCATTTTCCAAGGAGAACCATTTGGGAACTGAGTCACCTGCCTGAATTTGTGAGATTAATCTCTGAAGTACCACATCCTTCTTGATAAAGGACTGCACAAAATCCCAGCAAATGCCACAAGAAGTAACCATGTTCAAACACTCCACATCAGGTGAAAATTGACGAGACAATGCATCTGCAACTTTATTAGTAGGCCCAGGCTTATAGTGGATATCAAACATATAACCCAAAAGTTTACTCACCCACTATTGGTAGGCTTAGCCAACTTCCCTCTGCTCCAGGAGATATTTGAGGCTTCTCTGATCAGTTCGTACAATAAAGTGGCAGCCTAGCAAATAATGCCTCTACTTCTCAATGGCAAACACTATGGCCATCAACTCTTTTTCATAGATGGGCTTGCTTAGATTTCTGACTCCCAAAATTTTGCAAAAATAAGCAATCGGGTGTTCAGCCCGGAGTAACACCGCTCCCAGACCATGCCCCGAGGCATCTGTCTCCAACACAAAAGGAAGAGAAAAGTTTGGGGCTGCAAGGGTAGGTGCCTTGACCATAGCCCCTTTGAGAGTGTTGAAGGCTACGATAGCAGCTTCTGTCCAACCAAAAATATCCTTGCAAAGCTGATCTGTGAGAGGTTGAGCAATGAGTGCATAGCCCTGAATAAACTTCCGATAGTAACCAGTGAGGCCAAGGAAACCCCGCAATTCTCTCAAATTCGAAGGAGGGGGCCAGTCTACCATGGCCTGGACTTTCGCAGCATCTACCTCCACACCAGCCACAGAAATTACATGCCCGAGATAAGCTACCCGTTTCTTGCCTATCTCACACTTCTTGTAGTTGGCATACAATTGATGTTCTGCTAAAGTTTCCAGCACTTGTCTTAGGTGAGGTAAATGAGTCTCTTCACATAGACTATAGATGAGTATGTCATCAAAGAAGACGAGGACAAATTTGCGAAGGAATGGCCTGAAAATTTCATTCATAAGTGACTGGAATGCTGCTGGTGCATTGATTAGCCCGAAGGGCATAACCAAAACTCAAAATGGCCTTCATGGGTGGGGAAGGCAGTGTTATGCACGTCTTCGGCCCTTACTCGAATCTGATGGTACCCAGATTTTAGATCGAGTTTAGTGAAAATAGTCGATCCACCCAATTCATCCAACAATTCGTCGATTATGGGAATTGGAAATTTGTCTGGAATTGTCTATTTGTTCAATGCCCTGTAATTGAAACAGAAACGCCACGAGCCATCCTTTTTCTTCACCAAAAGCACCGGGCTCAAATACGTGCTTGTTGAAGACTGAATGATACCTGCACTCAACATGTCAGTCACCAATTTCTCAATTTTATCCTTCTGCGACTGGGGGTACCTGTAGGGTCTAACATTAATTAGATTAGCACCGTGACGAAGCACAATTGCATGTTCAATTTGTCGTTGCGGAGGCAACCCTTGCGGCATGTTGAACACCTGCTGAAACTCTTGCAGTAAGGGTCGAAAAGCTACTGGAACAAGTGGTCATCCACCACCCGTTCTATATGATTAAACTCAAGCAGATATCCCTGACCTTCTTTTTGAAGATTTTTTAGCATTGCCTTTAACGAGATCCCTGTTCTACCCAGAGGATCGCCCCGTAAAGTCACAGTTTCTCCACCCAAGTGGAATTTAAGAGTCTGAGTTTTCCAATTGGTGGTTGTGTTACCAAGTTTTTCCTACCACTGAATTCCCAAAATGATGTCGGAATTACCTAAGGGCAAAATGAGGAAATCTTCGATAATCGTCACTCCTTGAAGGTCCAGCAAGACCCCCTTACACTCCCCTTTCCCTTGTACAGATTCACCCGTTCCGAGCATCACCCCGAAACTCTTGGTGTTAGTGGGACGAATCTGCAATTGCTGGGCAGCTGTGGAGGAGATGAAGTTGTGCATGGCCCCGGGGTCGACCATCACCACCACGAGGCTGCCGTTGACCGTACCAGCCAGCCGCATGGTTTTCGGACTTGTCAAGCCCATTACTGAGCTCAGGGAAACTTCTGCGTGGGGTTCTATAGTGGGTTGTTGTACGGTGGTGGTTTCTAGATGAGTTTTTACCATGGAAAACTCACCGGAATCATCCCAGTCATCATCATCATCCACCGTGAGAAGCACACTAAGGCCCCGGCGCTGGCACCGATGGTTCATATTCCACTTCTCACCTGCTCTCGTTTTTTGCTGCATTTCCTTCTCCGCCAGCAATTGCAGCTCTTCGGTAGGTCTTGCGGTGGAGTTTCGGGTGGCGAAGGGTTGGGTTGTGGTGTTTTGGGTGAGGTTCGTGTTTAGGGTTGTGTTTGGGTTGGTTCACAGGTTTTGGGTACGAAGTTCTCCATGTGGGTAAGTTCGGGTTATGGGTTTTGGGCTTTGGGCTTAGTTTCAATTTTTCCTCGATCCGCATGGAAAGATCCATGGCCAGATCTAAAGTGGGTGGACCCAGAATCCGGACCGGACCTCGACCCGAATTTCTTCCTTGAGTCCGTTTGATATATTGCCCTTTCGCAATATCTTCTGGAACACCATCAATTGGAGCCAAGAGTTCGATGAATAGGCGACAATAATCAGCCACCGTCCCGGTCTGTTGGTGAGCGAGCCATTGCTCGTGCAAAGAACCCGTTGCGGTGGTTCTGAAGCGGCGGAGGATTAGCTTCATCAGGGGTTCACAACTCATCACAGCCTGCCGTCGATGTTCCCATTGATACCAAAGTAGCTGAGAATCCAGCAATCCGGATTAGCTCCATCAAAAATTGGTAAGTCAAGTTTTCTTAACTTCCAATTCGACTGACCGGCCTGAAAACCACCTTCTCTATATTCCAAGTGTGGTTGCGAGGAGAACGGATTATCCCACTGGTTTTGTGGGTCGTTCACCATTGATGATCGAACCTCCGATCGGAACTTCTCCTGACCTACTCGTGAAGGCACCTCAGCGATCTCCTGCTCCAACAAATCCAATCGTTGACCATGAGTCAGGCGAGCCATCGTCTTCTCCGGCGAGGATCGTGGTTGCTCTGATACCAATTTGCTAGGATTTGGATATGAAAACAGAGTATGCAAGCAAAAAAACAGAAATTGAAGATAGCAGCTAAGGGATAAGTGTATTGCAACCAGATTAATCACAATACAGGGGCCTTCTTTCGAGAGGAAGGTTCTCTTCACAACTCACTTCAACAACAAATTCTAGATACTCTCCCCCTATCCCATTAGCACTATTTAATACGACAATTAAGCCTAACAAACTCAAGCAACAGCTAACACAAGGAATCAAAATAACAACCAAATAACAAACTTATTTCTGAATTACTACTTTGCCCTTTCCCAAAACTGATTTCATAACAAACTATCTTCCAGCTCATCATCAAGCATTCGCTAGCCTATTCTTGGGCCTTCTCCTTGCATATGTGAAACGGACCTCAGGCCTAGGATGATCTCTTGCACAATACCAGCAAGATTTAAATCAAGGCCACAAAAATGGACAGATGGTGTTGATATGTTAAGTTTATGCTATATATTTTTTTCCCATTTTTTGGCTATTCACTTGCATATTTGAGCTCTTCTGAGCCAATTTTTACTAGCAAATTCTTCTTTAGTGTGGCTTGAACTTTGATTTAAGTTTGGTAGGATTGAGAAAATTTTCTGTTGCTTTCTACAACTGAATATTGCCACGAGAGGTTGAATAGGACAGATGGAATATTTCTGGGTCTGCCCGACTGGGCAACGTAGCCCAATGAGGTCAGGCAAGTTTACAGGCCAATCCATGCAGTACTACTTTTGTAATTCTGCGTGCTCGATCAGGTAGGTTTCCTCAAGCTGATCAGGCAATACCAAATTCCTCACCACAGCAGGTTTTTTCAAGGAGTTTTTAAGCTTTAGGTGATTCACGGATGATAATTTTTCTTATTTTTCAAAAAATTTAGCATTAGGCTATTAAAACCTCTGTAAAGCCCGATTACAAGACATTTAGACATAATTTAAAATTTCTCTTAGTAATTAGAACCCTAGTTTCTCTCTAATACTACTTTTAATCCTTATTTCAAGTTTCAAGCTTTGTTCTTCAATAATAATTTCTGGATGTTTGTAGCATCTGTATTTATATTATTTCTATCTTTTATTATTTATTTCCATTGTTAATCATGGTTTCCACGGTAGAAAATTGGCAATGATCTCCAAAACTTTGGTTTTCATTTACAAGATGTTCCACTCTGTGATAGGTATAAGGGCTGGACCTGGGACAAGGGGCTTTGACACTTGGAACTGCTAAAAACTTAAGAAGAGTTAACTACCTAGCAAGGTTTGAAATACAATTGTGGTCGAGATCGCAGGAAAAGAAATGTTTTGTTGATCGCAAACCAGTGTTGCTATTGTTCTCTGTTAAGAGTAGTTCTAGTAGTTAGAGTAGACTATTAATGGCTTAGAGCCATCATTGGGGAGACGTGTGGAATCTTTCAGTATAATTTTGAATAGCAAGTTTTTAAGAAACACGGGATGTAACGTTTAACGTGGGGCGATTCGGGGTTGGAACTTTTTAAAAATCCTTTACAATAGAGCCTAACTGAAACAAAGTAGCCATATATTTGTACCATGCTGCCTAGTAGCTCCAGTCAGTAACAGCATCACTATTACTAATAGTCTGTTTAAGTAGCATAACGATAAAACTTTCATCAAGAAACCAATTCTGATGGTTGTCAACTTGTCGCACATGGGATATGTGAAAAGTATCAAAGCAATGCATAAGTAGACAAGCTTTGCTCTTGACATAAGACCTTTCCTTTTTAGTCAAATCTTCCAAAAATAATTGAAATTACAAAAAATCAAGAACAAATTTTTCAAGGAAATATAAATAATTTGCAAGAAACTTGGTTCACTTTCCTAGCATGTTTCCTATGTGAACCTAGACTCTACAAAATTACTCCCATAGAAAAGAGCCAAAGAAGGCAATCTCACCCAACAATTCTACATTGAGTTTCAACATTAGGAGTCACTGAGAAAATATCTTAAGTCATGTCCTCTCCTGAAGGAAAAGTTCAGGGAACTAAGTTTAACTAGTCACAAAATTCATCTTACGGAAGCAAATCAGGTTCAAGACACAAACAAATCCAAAATATTGCTAATTGAAATGTTTGCAGATACGTAAGAACATTAACATCAAGGCACGTAGGACATGAACATGAATGTGGCATATACCTGCACTAGGCCACCAAAATTGTCTCTTAGATCCAGAACAAAACATGAGGCACCTAGGTCTTGAAGGCGCTTCATTGCTGTGCAATAGCCAAGATTATATGTGAGTTGTGATACCACAGACAATAAAAAAAACTAAAAGTTGGAGCATATATGTTTCATGTTTAATATTTAAAACCCTACCTATATAAATACAAACATGTACTTCCTCCATTCTTTTTTCAACACCTTCCTTTTATGAAGGTTAAAAATAATTGAACATTACTTTTTGTCTATGAGTTCTCTCTATCTCTCTCCTCATCACATGGATCCCATTTGTTTATCCCTCTCCTCATCACATGACCCCATTGTTTATCTCTCTGCTCATCTCATAGGTTCCTTAATAAATGTGCCTCTTTATGTTGCAATTTGAAAAGAATTGAGGAAATTATGTTAGTAATTCAAGTTAACAGCTTCCTTATATAAATACCCTAAGCATCATGAGATAAATATGTTGGAGAAATGCAGTCACATGTGATTTGGGACAGCATATAAAGCTCTTGCAAAATAAAACATATGTATCTAGAGGTCTTAAGATAAAGCTTCTGGAAATTTAATAGGAAAAATATTCTCAATAAGCTTTCAACCAACACAACTATGACAAAAAAAATTGTCATAGTTTAGCCCAAGGGTGTCCAGAACCCGACCCGGACTAGTCTCGGATGACTGGACCAAAGGGAACTGGTCCAATATCCGGGCCAAAAATTTTAATTTTTCGGTCTTTGATCTAGTTCGATCCAAAACCCCTAAAAAACTAATCTTGTACCGTATTAGTCTTTTTGCTTAATATCATGCACAAGAACCTATGGAATGTTTGAATTTACCTTCAATATGTTAGGAATATACTCCCTCCGTTTTGTTTTTTTTTTTCAATTCAACACTTTGACCGATACGGAGTTTTAGGTGGTCAAATTTAAATTTGTTAAAATATTATGTAAGTGGGGTTTACTAGGGAATATAAAAAAAAGGATAGTGTATTAATAGTTTATTTAAAATAAGAGATGTGAGAGAAGAGAAATAATAAAAAAGTGTAGTATATTTCCAATTGAGGAAGTATTGCATTTAAAAAAACAGTCATTTTAGGAAAGTGTAGCATTATACTTTGAGCTATTCTATAACCGGTCCGGTCCAGGTTTTGGACCGGTTTTATTGGTCCGATCCTAATCAGTCCAGTCTTGAATTTTAAATTGTTGGTCTTTGGTCTAGTCCGATCTTGGAACGGTGAACAAACCTAGTTAGTCCCATTAAGTATAGAACTAATTATATAGCTTGGAAGGCTAAACACAAAAGCATGAGGAGGGCATCGCAAATTATTTCTTCAGGAGTATTTACACATGGAAATTGGAGTATAAATGCTTGATTTACTCATTTTCCCAGTGAAATGAAGAAACTGAAGGATTACCCCTTGATTCCCGGCTAAATTGCAACTAAATTCATAGCATCGTAATTTGGCGAGTAACTTTTTGACAACCTAAGTGTTTTCTACGGTAATTGTGCAGAAAACATGGGAAGAGGCACAAGTTTTAAGAAACCCATGAGGCAAGGGATAAAAAGAGGAACCCAGGTGATTTGAAGAGAAATAAAGAGAACTCATTAGCCAAACAAAATAAAGAGAAGTGTTGCAATTATTTTGGAACATAAAGAGTACAAAAGGTAGTTTCTAAAGTTTTTTAAAATACTACAAATAAAAAATTACTAGCTGGTATGGTACTGCGTACTAACTGATGTACCATTTCTGTTAGGCTAATTACTACTCCCTCCGTCTCGAATCTACAAGCCTATTTCCCATTTTTCACGGGAATTAAGGAACTTCGAGATTCCTTAAAACCCATGATTGGGAAGTACAAATATGCATGTGGGGTTAGAGAGGGATAGAGAAAAAGAAAAGGTAGTTGGTAATTATTGAAGAGATGGAGAGAGAAACTGTAGGAAAATGATGTCAAAAGTACAAAAAAATAAAAGAAAAATGATGACAACTCTTCAAAAAAAGTGGAATATTGTCAAAAAGTACATTTTTTAAATAGAAATAGGCATGTAGTTTTGGTTATCCCGAAATGGAATACATGCATGTAGATAAGGGACGGGGGGAGTACAAGCCTACTAGGTTACATAACTAACACCATTCCCCCACCCCCATCCAAGCAAAAAAAAAGAGGATATAAATGATCACTGTTTCTTTCAAAACAAACACTTTCTAAAGGGCTCACGTAGACAGTATGTTTATGGCCTTTACTAGCCAAGGGTTAGCCAAACATACATATAGGTATATGGCAACATTTTAACTGGATTGAAACTTAATTTTATATTATCTCAAATCTCTCCATCTATCACAGCTAACTATAAATAGTTACCTGTCACTATATCTTTTCTGGCCAGCGCATTAAACTCCTTTAGTCGCACATATCCAACAGAGGTTGCACCATTGTCAATTTTCTCCAATCGGTAGAACACTGGAGGTCTAGCAACCATCTGCCTCTGAACTTTGACGGACTGAACTGGACCGCAATTTCCATGCTTGACCTAAATATGATTTTCATTATTCATTAGGTCAGATAAAAGATGCTGCAGTTACTGAAGGTTTCAGACATAGCATTCACAGGGTTAACACAGATATATCACCTCAACTGTTACAAAAGTTTCACTGGGACCTTGCAACTTTGATGATACTTCAAAAGCTGATTTGCCTCTCACATCCTCCCCGTCAACAGATAAGATTTCATCACCCTATAAGAAAGACAGTGGGAAATAATGTTGAAAGAAAGTGAAGATAGATGGGATTATACTTAGTTAATCGAAAGGTGGGACTGTATAGTAGACCGCCTAAAAGTTGGATTATCCAAAAAAAGAATGTAACTCAATGCTTTCTCTCATTTTGGACCTAGGAGAAGCACAAAAATATAAGAAAAACACTTAAAAGAAAGAAAAAACAGCAACAAGGCTTTATGAACTATAAAGCTACTTTACAACTTCAGAAGAAACCATCACGGCTTCATGTATAGAAGGTAGTTCCTCTTTTTCATGCCTGGTTCAATGTTACTTATATTTCTCAGTGTTTTAAACTTTTACTCCATCTAATACTTAAAAAAGAATTAGCAAGCAAAAGTTGTAAGATCAAACTGATTTGGTTATAATATTCATAAAAGGAAAAAACAAGGAGCTAACTTGGCCAAAAGCTTATGCAAATAGTGAGAATAGAATATCCCCTTGCCCCCCTCTCTTCCCCTCCCTCACTGCAAAACTTTGGACTGGAAGTTCACCACAACCCACAAGCCCTTTGTACCTCGTGAAAAGAGAATCTCTGACAGTTGAACAAAACACTAAATCAAAGTTAATCAGCTCCACTTCCAAGTAACTCTCAAATATATTGTAATGGCTAGATTGATTATTGACGTACAATAGAAATCCTACTCAGCCAATACTTTATGGCAATACTCTATTTAATACGGCAAACTCTAAAGCCTACGGAGCAACTTTATAATTAAATAGATAAAGATATAAGTTTAAAAGATAGCACTGTAGTTCTAGTCACCTGTCTAATTCCAGCAGTTTGAGCAGGCCCATCCAACACGAGTCCAAGCACCTTCAATTTGAAACTTCCATTGCTAGCAGGAATCTCCCTGAGATTTAGCCCAATGCCAGTGATGTCATATCTTGCCATCTTCGAGAACTTTCATACAACAACGATTCATATGCCATGAAACATAAACTACAGCAGGCGTGAGTTAAGACCTACAATTAATCCACTAGAACTACACAATAATAACAGCTGTAATCTAAAAATTCATGTAGTAGTGCAGCTAACACAGATTACAATATTGGGAAATGTTGGACATGTAATCAAGGTGGTAGGGGTAACACTTATTCAAAGTGATTGGACAGCAGGACAAATTGCAATAGAGAAAAAGATACTACGTACTACGTTTTGCAAGAAAAGCCTACAAAAACGAGTACATTTGAATATTAAAGCTCTGAAATGTACCTAGCACACCAAATACTGCTAGGTGCTAAGAGTTGCAAACACATTTAATCAATATCATCAGAACAGTTAACTGAACATCTGACACCAAACAGATAGCACATCTATCTCTTCTGGAACCAACTATTTCCACTATTCTACTTTAATTGTTCTATCGACAAAATGTGCATATTAAGAAGTGCTACAAGAATAACCAAAAGTAGCAATTTTTTAGTGGAGTAACATACAAACATACTATAATTTGATTAGTGACTACCTCTTCTGGTGACAAAAAACGCGTATAAGGATCTCCCAAGCTTGCCAGCATTTTTTGAACAACACTATGAGCCTTTGACCTAGTCTTAATAGAAGTGCTCAATATGTCTTCCTTCTTGCGCTGCACGCAAACGACAAATATGCTTGAGAGAGCATGTAAAACTAGTAGGAGAAAAAGAAACTAAGAAATACGTACATATGATTTGATAGCCAAAGTATACTCCCAAGTCTAAACATGAAGGATCAAACAACCATTAGCATTCAGCATCATCGAAACTCCTAGCACAATCTAGCTTGATTCTCAACTCAATTTATTACAACAACAAATCAATAATCATAAACACAATCCCAACTCAATTTATAACAAGTTCAATCTATAATTAAAAATTCATGCAATTATTTCATCAAATTATGAATAAAACCAATAGAAATTAATAATCATAACCATAATTATTAAAATCAAATTAGAGAGAGAAAAGGGTATTACAAGCCAAGACTCCGGAGACCAACGACTACGACCAGTATCAAGAAAACTTTCATTAACAATCTCCCAAGCTTCCTCCACAATCCCCTCATTCGTCTTCAATTTCGGCGCCGATAACTCCATTTCAGCTCCAAATTCTCTCTCATCTTCGCGACAATACGAATCAGACGACAACGACGATTGATCGGAAAGAGGAGAATCAGCAGCAATTGAAAGAGGAGGAGATAGTAAGAGGGTGAAGGAGAGTGCAGCACCAGCTATGGCGGCTCCAATTGAAGGGTTGTTGGGCCAATTGAGTGAATTTTGAAGATAATTGCTGGTGTAGTTTTTGGGTTGTCCGCCATTTTTGATGGTAATGGAAATGGTGGTGCTGCAGGGGTTTGGTGAAGTGAGAGAACAGAGGCTCATCCTATTACTTTCTCTATTGTTTTGCGTCTCTCATTCTCTATTTCTCATCTTCCACGATAGGAGCGGTGAACAGCTAAACGACACCCGCATTTTACTAGATAACGCCCTCTTGTTAACTTGAATTGACGATTATACCCTCACATGTATTCCCTCATTTCCCTACCCTGCTTTGAATTTAACATTCTCTCCTCCCAACAAACCACCACTGACCATCACTGACCAAAGTAAGCTCGCAAGGTCACTGTCGGGGTTAAATCGTGTTTTTTCACCAAATGCCAGGGAAATTGGGGTTCTTAATTAATTTGGGTGATTAGGGTCTTAAAAATAATTTGGGGGCTTACTGAGTATTGCTTTCAAACAGGTGTAAAAAGCTTACAAATTACAATTGAAGTATAGCAAAATATCTAGGGGTGAGCAAAGCGGGTACCCGATCAAAATTTTAGGAACCAGACCCAAAATTGATTGGGACCAGGTCCTAAAATTCGGAATTAGATTTGAAACCACTTCAACCGGGTCCTAATGTTTAAGAATTAGAATTGGAACCGCCGAGTATCGGTTCCGGGTACTCACTTATGTGCATAATTGTTAAAATTTAATACAAATTATAATATTTATTTTGATGCATTTTCATTTTTAGCGTTTAATACTTATATATATATATGCATGAAGCTAATTTATTTATGTTAGGTACTAATAATATTTTTTTTTTTTACTAACTAGATACATTCAACCTATTTTTGCTTCTAAAATATATTTAGTTTAATATATATTGGTTAACCAGGCACCCAACCGGCTCCGGGTCCAAAAAATTGAGAATTGGAATTGGAACCAATTGCAACCGGTTCACTAATTTATTTCCCGGAATTGAAACCACTGGGTCCATTCTGAATGCGGACCCGCCGGTTTCGGCTCCAATTTCGAATACCCGGAATTTTTGCTCACCCCTAATATTATCCATTGTTAGTGTACCTTTTTTTTTTAACAAATCAATTCATTAGTTAAAAGTCATACGCCATCTACAAATGAAATCTAAATCAACAAACACATAAAATTGAATCAAATAAGGGTTTCCTTCATCAAAGCTACGATTGTTGAATAGATATTGCACTGTGTACATTTCTCGCACACATTGCTGAAATATACAGCCTTTTCGGAGAGACAGTCTAACGATTTGTTGTAGCCGTAAGGATGATTTTCATCTAATTCACTTGAACGTGTTTGAAGATTTGACAATCGTTGCGATCCCGGACAACTCTTTACCAACGAACTGATAATAGGGCAAAAGATGATTACCTTTTTAATAAACCCTAACACACAAAAAAAAACCCTAAACAAAAACAAACAATAAAACTAACAAAATCTAACGACTATAGGGAGACGGATAAATATCTACACTACTCGTGTAGATTTATTGAAAATTAAATTGCAAAACTAAAAAAAAATAAGATAAAAGGATCGAAAATAGTCAAGAGGCAAAAAGGTTTTATTAACACTACGAGTTAAAAATTATTTTTGTTTTTTTTTTTTTTTTGAAACAAGTTAAAAATTAGTTAGTGTACGTACACTTGTTTTTTTTTACAAAAAAATATATGTTTGTGTATTTAGAATAGTAGGGATACGTTTGCGTCAAAACAAAAATAATACTACGTACAAAATTACAGAGTAATCCAGAACTGATAAAAGAATACATCAGTTTCCCGCTCTCTTTCCAGGTTTCCCATTGAAGCGCACTCCACGGTCTCCATTCAGACGACTTCTGAAATTACTATCCTCCATTGAAGCAGCTTCTGAGGTAAGATGAAGTTTCTTTTTGTATTCATCGAATATCAATTTCTCTATCTAGGGTTTATCTTTGATTTTATTCTCAATATACTCTATTTAGGGTTTGATTATTCAACTGTTGGTTATAACTAAGGTTATCAAAGATCATAACCAGCGATTTTGTTGCTAGAGAAGAAATTTATGCGATTTGCGGGCCTGAATTGGTAATTGAATAAAGTTTTCCTTTAATGTTAGGAATCTTAGGATGGAACTGTGAAATTGGACCTTTCCTATGTGATTTTTTGAGCATAATTTGATAATTGAATCAAGTTTGGTTGCTAATTTGTTGCAGAACCTTTTAATGCTAGAATGTGACTATGGTATTGGACCTTTTCTATCTCAAATCATGTGTTTTTTCGAGCCTAATTTGATAATCAAATCAAGTTTGGCTGCTAATGTGTTGCAGAACACTTTAATGCTAGAATGGGACTATGATATTGGACCTTTTCTATTTCAACTCATGTGATTTTTCGAGCCTAATTTGATAATTGAACCAAGTTTGATTGCTAATATGTTGCAGAACCCTTTAATGCTAGAATGGAAGTATGATGTTGGACCTTTTCTCCCTGGCTAGGGCAGCTGCCCCTCCTGCCCTAGCTCAGGGATAGGCCTGCTTGTGATTGAACTTTACTAACGCATGAATATCATTCCCTAGGTTATCACATCCTCTTGAGGCCTACAAGGAGGTGAGTTGTCTGTTCTTTTGTTTGTTGGTTGTTTATTTGTAGTGCTGACAATTTTTATTGTTATGTATTTGCAAAAGAAAGATGCTCAAAGTTTTGATTTATCTCTGAATGTGATTTGAGCATAGATAGTAGATAGTTTGAGCCTAAAATTCCCAAATGTTTGTTGAGCTGACATATTTAGTGGTCCAAAAGCTGCATAATATAGTGTATAGGTATGTTTTAAGTATTTTTTTTAATTAGGTCACTAGCTAAAAAACCTTCTTCTTGTAGTGTTTTCGAGAGTACATAGATGGAAATTGACATGTATAATGGGTCATGCCCCCATTTAAAGTTATAAATGGGTCAGGTCCATCCAATTAATAAATAGGGCAAGCCTTTAGCGGGTCACCCCAATAATGGGCTCTTAAGTGGGTGGGTCGGGCCCTATAAGGGTCAATATGTTGAAAATTAAAAATAATTTTTCTTTTATCACTGCCTTCAACAGTCTTCCATTTTCTTAGACGTCCATCTTCTTCTCACATAAGATCTTGTCATTAGCCTCCATCTTGTAAAATTGCTAAGATTGATAGTTTAAAATTCGTACAAAATCTAGGATATTGGGTTCATGTCTTGATTTTTTATGTAACGCTTCTTAAAATTATTGATAACATACCATAGCTAGTTTGCGATAAGTGCAACGAATTTACTCTGTATACGAAGTGTTACTTAAACCAAGGACACTATAGTATGATTCTGACGCAACAAAGGTTGAAGTCTAATTTGTTAGATTATTACAAAAATTGGGATTAGTAGTATGAGAAAATTAGAGATTAAGGTTGAGATATGTATAAAGGTGGGGAATGATCAAAGAAAATCTTGAAAATGAAGGCGGGTAATGATCAAAGAAAATGAATTGTTAGTGAAAATTGTGCACCAGCAACTGAGGAGAGAGAAAATGGTTATCAAGTGTGTTCTTTAGATTTTGAGTCTGCCTATTCAGTTTTCTCGTCCAAACATTAACAATATTGAAAAGTAAAGGGTTTGGGTTGGGCGGATCTAAATGGATCTTGATCTGACCCAAACCATTCAAAATTTAATGCAACCAAGCCCAAACCTGACTCGTTAAGTATCAACCTGTCCGCCCATGACCTAGGTCTAGATGGAAAATGAGAGGTAGCGAGGGGTTGCGACAATGGCTAGCTTCCATTTGCTTGCCTACATGTCTCAAAATTGTGAATTTTCTCGCCTCCCGATTTGCTTTAATTGTATTCAGATTTAACAGAACATTATAAGCATTCATTTGTGTAGCTTCTCTATATTTTCTAGCTATCTAAAGTTTGGGTTTCAGGTTTCAATTTCGATTTCATAATTGGTTGTTCGATTTTTGTCTTGTTAAGTCCTTTTCTTTATATCATACGATTCCTTATGACGATTTATGTTAGCCGACCCTAAATCATTTTGGGACTTAGGCTTTGTCGTTGTTGTTGTTGGGTGTTGGATTTTTATTTTCGTATATATATTAACATTGCGCAGTTTTATAGGTTTAGTGTTGTTGAGTTGCCTTGAAGATTATTATATTATTAAAATTCTCATATATATTTATCTACTCGGAAACATAGGGGGTAATGTGACAGTGGCGTATAAGGTACTAAGGGAGACATGTTTGGCGGCAGAAGCAGTAGCAGTTGGGTCCGCCATTCAGTTCATTTCTTTAAAATTCAGCATGCACCAACAACACGACCATTTTGCAATTCCACTGCTCTAAACAACAAAATGAAGCACCAGCCTTCTGACTCTGATGGCAGCAACAACATTAATTATTTAAGAGACTTGGACAACCTTAATTTTACTAAGGCTGCTAAGATTCTTTTCTCCACTCCTCCCAAGAAGAAGAATTTTTGGTAATCTTCTCCTTTGTTGTTGTTGTTTCTGTTTTTGTTGTTTTAGTGTTTCGGGTACCTTAGTTATAATGTGGTGGCTTTAAATTTCAATTCTTTGTTTAGTTTGTAATGTTGTTTCCATGCCTATTTCTCAAGGATAATAATGACTACAATATGATTAGCTTGTTATTTCAGTCTCTGAAACAATCTACAGTCTGTTGCATATAGTATGAAGATTTAGGGTTCAAACTGGATTTACTAAAGTATTTCCATCATAGGTTGTTGTTTACAGTATGGAAAAAGTTTCCCTTACTTGAGGGTAATTGATTTCACCCCCTTGTTGCCCTCCCCAGCTAGTGGCAACAATTCATGATACCCTCAATCTTTCATTTGTTTCCATTCCATTTTTATTAATTTACCTAATGATTAATAAAAGCAATAGCTGTCAGTATCATAAACATTCCCCCTTTCATTTGTTATAATTTTATTCTGCTTCTTTCAACCCTACCAAATGCACCCTCAAAGTGTCTGGCTAACTGGATTGAGAGCACCCTGGATAGTAGGGCCTTAGCCCAGACCCATTCCATTGCCTACCATAAGGATGGGCATATAATTTATGCACTTGGCAGTTTGCATGTATCAAAATAGATATTGTATTTGCTTGCCTAGTATACAATCATTTGT